GGTTTATATCATGTACAGCTAATTTTATTACTTTATTATGACGTAAACCTGACGATCTTTTACTGTATAATCTTGACAATGATTTTGAGTTTAGAACTGGGGTAATCTCCTTATTTACATTTTACTTAGCTAAAAGAAGTTAGTTAATTAAGACTCCTTACATTCATTTTCTTAGACTATTTTGAAGATTTGCATTGAACATAATTACCAGTCTGTAGCAGATAGATATTGGGGTGTAGCTTATGACTGATTTTATTTCACTGTTGAAAATAATTCATTGTTTATTGAAAGACATAGCCATTATCTGTAACTGATTAGACAACCATTATGGTACTGTGGACTCCAACTACAATGTGTTTATAAATGAGCTAATTTAAATCTTTATTTGCTTGACCATGATAGTAGACTCTTAAGGACTTTGACAAGTGTGCCAAATTTCACCTAGACACTCCACCACCAGATTAAGCTTATCAGAAACTGATAATGAAATCAATGCTTGTGACTGATAACAGCAGTTTGGCTGGCTGGTTTGTTTGTCTTCCTACATTGTGGTCAATACACAATGAGTTACAATGTGATTATAAACCCTGGTGTTTTTATCCTGTAATTAGAAAACGTTTTATTTCAAACTCAACTGTCTAGAATGAGACAAATGTCTGTCAACAAACACAATTATTGGCAGCCATCACAAATTAAACTTATTTTTGGTGATTTAAAAAATATTAAGATTTGTTGCAAAATGAATTAAGTAGTATTACGAGTGTGACCAATATTACAAAGCAGACAGATATATATAGACAGTACATAGTACTGGAAGGCAAGTGGGCGGAGCATAAGATGCTCAATTGTTAATACAGCTATTACAATTATTGGCAGCATCCCCTACCATGAAGCATCATGGCTCTAATTAAAAGAATGGGGGAAAATGCATGATGTTAAAAGTGGTTAAATTCCTTCACAGATGTTGTCATCTTGGTTTCATGACTAAATAAATACTTTAAAAATTCAAGTGTATACAGCTTTCATTGTGGAATCCAAATATTTGACTCTTGGCATACCACTAGAAATGCCAATTACAACTGCAGTTAAGTTTAATAGCTGTTAGTTTTCTCCTGTTTTTCATTCTCAAGTTTTCTCCAAAACAGTTTTAGACACTCAACTGAAAGAGAAAAGCATTAACTGAGACCCTTTTCTAAAATAATCCATAGGAAAATATTTGATGTCTGTCTGAAGCAAATAAACAGTGGGCATTTGTGTTAGGATTATCATGTCAAATCTCTGTCTAAAAGGCTTATTTTGAGAAGCCCACCTTGTGACTGCAGCAAATTAAGAAAAATAATCCTTGCTCAACAAGCATCACAATTATGTGATAAACAAGTGATTCTAAAGTAAATCCCAGTGAAGCTATTTGAAGAGGCCATGTCCTTTGATTTAGGAAAGTTCTCAGGGGAACAAGCTATACAAATAAAACTGTCCTATAATGTGTTTGGATAACACATTAATCCAATTATAACATTAAATCTACAAAATCTACCCCTAGTCTACTTAAAATATACAATAAAAATGTTTAAATTGGAACTGAACATTACATAGGTGATGAAAAATACTTTACAGACTTGGGGCTTGCAAGAAAGTTTGACGATGAAAGTATTCCACTATACTTTCTTGTTTGCTTCACTATTGTTTTTGTATGGTTGATTATCAATTATAGTCCCATAGTCAGTGTGCATATAATAAATACATTTAAGAGATTTGGGAGATCAAACAATGAAGAAAAATCAACTTACACAATCAAATATCATATGTATGACAAAACTGAATATTGTAAATTTTTGCCAAACTTTTTTTTAGATGGTTTAAATTCACAAAAGTTAAAGAGGTTTACAGTACTTTAAACTAGATATTAAAATATAACTGTTAGTTTGCCAGTAGCTAGTGTCAAACAGGTGTAAGATTTAGTTGACTTGCGTAGCTTACCTTCCAGCTATGTGGGATAATTTAAGAGTATGTTTATGTAGGAATCGTGCAGGAAGTTTCAGTGAATGGGGTTACACTCATCTCCCAGCAGATGTATAACAGCGTATGCATAGTTTAAAACAATCTTGGAAAGTTATTTACTTTAACACTGCTTATTGTGACACACCCAAAACACCCTCAAATTTCCACATTCCAGAAGCTGAGTTTTGCTTCTGTTATTTTCTACATGTGCCTGGAGTCTCATACTGGAAGAATGTCAAGCTACAGCTGTAATATGAAACTGACACATGTTTGGCTTCAAGGATATTGATCTTCTGAGTGCACTTTTAAACTACACATTCTTGAAAACATAAAACAGAAAGTCACACAAGTCACAGTCAAATCACCCATAGCCACAGCCACAGAAGATGCTTTTACATTTGTCTAAATATATATTTGTACATCACTGAAAAGAAGAGATTCATCTTGTACCATATAAACTGAATATACCAATCATTATCTAGATGTTTTACAACATAGCTTACAATTGGAAGATCAACATTGTCTTGTTTCCAATACACAGTTGTGATTAAATACATCTCACAAAAGCAACTGATAAGTCATAACCACTGGTAGTTCTTTAATTCATTCTTACTTGGGGGAGGGGGGCAACCAAGTAGCAAATAACATTCTTCCAATATTGAATAATCAAATGCCAAAGCCACAGAAGTAGAGCATTTTATTTTAAGTATTAGATTGTGGTCATTGACATGGGGTTGTGGGTGGGAAGTATGCACGTGATGGATTGTGGGGTTGTGTACTCCCCAAGTCAACCGCTATTTATAGAATTTCTATAAAAGCCAGCTGCAAATCAAGTTATAAACCCAATACGGACAAAAATGAGAGCTATAAACCACCCACTGATAAATACTAGTAGATGCAGTTCAATTTCATTTCTTCTTGCTTTCCTACTGTGAAAGGAAGGGTAAATATGTGGGTCAGGGCTGAAGTCTGAGATTTATAGGTCTATGTAACAGGCAAGAATACCAAAGGGTGATGAGTGCATTATACATGATCTGGTTTGGCTATATATATCTTTATGTGTTAGAAAACAACAATGAGGATAAGTATGGATTAGTTGAGTACATTTTGCGGTGACTATTGCACCATTTCATTTCACCTGGACGTACACAATGTGCAAGTGCTTGTTCTTCATCACTGGACAGGTGAACCACAAGACAATAATAAAAATAAAGAGGGGTCAATTGTGTATTTCCTGCCAAGTGTTGAAAAAAACATGTGTCAATAAAAGCTGCCCTATTTCTAGCTTTAGCTAATAGTGTAAAAAAACACTTTCATAAAAATATTGTGTTTTTTTTAATTTTATTTTTGTAAACATTCCAAATATGAGGAGTACAGTAGACCTGTTGTAATGTGTTAATTCACAACGTCAGAATTTGACCTCTAGGAGAACTCTGGTCACTCTTTAAGCTTTAAAGTTGAAACTTAACATGAATGCTTGTAGACTAAAACATGTACAAAATGTTCATTATATTAATATATCTATCAGTACTGAAAGTATGTGAGCATGTCTTTCAGTATGTGGCAATGTAATAGCACTATGAATTTGTTTGTGAGTCAGTGTTGTACAGAAAAAAACACCATTATCTGATCTGGTGGTATAATATTTGATAATTAAGGGGAAGGGTCAACCGCATTAATACTTTTAATAGGATACAGCCTCCCCTACTGATATGAAAATATTTGTATAAAAGGGCATTATATTTGGTGGCATGTAGCGTAACTGTCAATTACAATTAAAGCTATATGAGGAGAAATAAATCCAGCTGCTGCAGTGCTGTGTCTGGCCACATATTTGACTTCATTGGTTATTGTAATATAATATGAATGTTTAGTTAAGATTGTTAGCCACCTTTTTGTCGCATGGTTGTTAGAGCACCTCTTTATTACAAGGAATCCAACCCTAGAGGGTTGAATAGTTCTCAGTTCTACACTTAGTGTTGCCAAGAGAATGTATAGTTTTTGTCAATGACTACAATATTATCAAATTATGCCAATAACATATGAACTAAAATTCTGTTTTGTTCATGGAACTAAACGTTGGTAAAGGAATTTTAAAACTGTGTCACATGAATTTGGAGTTCAGATTTGTTAACACATTAACCTGGTGATTTTTCCCATTCATTTTGGCTATTTCTAGAGGCTTTAAATAGGTGTTAATGGGACAAATTAAAATCCATAGCATCAGATTTTAAAGACTGGAACTAAATATTGGATTGAAATTATAATATCAATATTATCTTTAAGGAGATAAAAGTGGATTGAGATAATAGTGTAACTCCTCATCTTTTTTTATGGAAATGTTTATATTGATAAAGTTTTATTGAAATGCCTGGATTAAGTGAATGTCATTTTAATGATTATTCATATAAACAAATATATATATATATAAAATATACGATATTGATACCATAACAGTATTCATCTGTTTATGTTAACTTTTTTACGTTACCTTTCTTTATTTGCCAAAGTACATTAAAATACAATGAAAATAAATACACTTTACTCAATTCAAGTGGAAGAAATGTAAAACGTAATATGACAGGAAAGTAGAAATTAGCACAAGTAGTGCTTGTCAAGTCTACTAGCCAAGTGTTAGATTGAGATGGCGTATATGTTCATCATGGTAGATGCATTTTAACACTAGTCTGGAATGACTATTTTAGGGTATTTTGAGCATGAGCTATGTTTTTCGGAATGTAAAAGCCATTCCAGGTAGCAGGTGTAATGGAAAATACACCAGAACGGCATGCGTTTCTCTTGCCTTTTAAAAATAAGGATTGCAATGAAAGTACATGTTAAAACTTGACATTCAACAAATTTACTGTAACAGTTTGTTCAGGTGTAACCTGTTTCAGCTTCATGGTACATTTTCAATACACAATGCCAGAATTGGACTTTAAACAATTGGCTATACCTGGTGATATACTCACAAATACATATACGTGTCATTTTCAGACATTGTATAATGGATCTACCTTATGGAACTCATTGCATCCATTTAGAAAAGAACATTTTATGCAGTTAAACATTTTGTTTGAATGTCACTTATTGAGGTCTTGTTTCATTATTTTTTTCAGAGCATAATTTTCCAGACTGTTCCAAAGCAAAATGTGAGCCAGTGTTGATGCCTCCTTGTCCAGAAGACAGCACATTACTTGTAGGCTTTTCACCGCCTGGAGAGTGCTGTCCAGAGCCACCAGAATGTGTGTGTGATCCTACCACATGCACTGAAATTATGTGTGCTGATAACTATGAAAGGGTATTGGTAAAAGAAAGCACAGGTGAACCAGGAAGTTGCTGTGATGTGGTTGAGTGTAGACAAATTGGTGAGTAGATAAACCACCAAAAATGGTTAAAAAGAAGTGAAAGGTTGATTTTCTTCCATGAACATTAAAAACACTTGATCTCTATAAAATCAAAACTATATTTTGGGAGGACAAATTTTACCATGTGATATAATAGTATACTGCTAGGGGAGTCTTGTCCGAGATTTACTGAAGTCTAATTAATCTAGATGATAGACATGCTGTCAGGAGTGGAGAGTGACAGGTATAGTGACAGAGATGAATGGGCTGTCAATTCAACCTCTTTCATCACACTGTTAGACCTAATAGTGGAGTGGCAGTTTTGTTCAATATGGTAGACATTACCAACAGATACTGTCCAGAAACATGAAAAATGGCTCTACCAATTCTTTTTTAACAATGACAATGATTATACTAACCTTGTCACGATTTTAATGGTTCTTTAATAAGTTTGCTGAATGCCAGAATGACTTTAAATGTTGTGATGGAGTGTGTGTTATAGTCAAGTTTTGAATAACTGATAGGGAAAGTTGGATGGCAACATCAAATTCCTTCCCATTTTGAGTACCTAAAATGGTGTGTTAGACACTCAAATATTTACCTCACAAATTGGCCTTTTGCCCAAGGTAGGTCATTCTCTTGTTAACAGAATAACATAAACTTAGCTCCCACTGAGCTATTAAAAGCCACTGATCACAAACAGCATCAGTTCTAGCTGATTGTTTGTGATATAGTGTACATGATGAAAGTATCAGATTAAAGTATTAACAGAATAGGTGCGAGGCAAAGTCAATTGGCCCAAAGCATTATAAAAAAAGTTTAAGGGATAACCAAAAGATACATTCCAACAAAGATAACAACAATTTTTAATCTATTGTCTTTGATTCCATCCAAATCATGATATATATTGTAGTGTTACTAGGATGTATGAATTTTGGGGGGAGGGGACTGTGTTCTTATACACTGCTTTTCTTTTTTTTATTTTGGATGAGTAAAGAAAAACAATAACTGTAGAATACTTTTTTTTCGCTTGGAATTTGTTTTCACTTAAGAGATGATTCCGTGAAAATAAAATCCAGTGAATATACTTTTTTTCCTATATTTCACATTAAACTCATCAAAAATCAGTAAAAATAAATTCCATACAAAACTCTCAAAAAGGCTTTTCAGCAAAAATTAATAAAGTATTTCACCGTAATATATGGAATGATGATGATGATAATGATAATGATGATGATGCACCATTTTACCCTATCCTAATTCCATGTACACTCTTTAAGGTATTCAGTCAGTCAACTTTTTAAATCTGTCGGCCAACTACAGTCACTCATGTAATTTCACCTTTACTCTTATTTAATATTCATGAGTACTTTGTGGAATTGACAAACCTTGAATTAAGAGAAGAGTGAATTCAGAAGGGAGGGAAGACCCAAAGTGTTTGTTAAACTGACTTTTACAGGGACAATTAACCTTGAATCTACTTTGAAAAAGTTCACATTTATACTACAATTGGAGCGTTTATCCAACGATTTCCTACTAAACAATGTATTTTGTTAGCATTGATTCTGTGAAGGACTAGTTAAAATGATATTCATGAGCTTTTGATGTAACTTTCTTTCTGTTGATGCATGTATGATGGTCAGGCTCATGGTTACTTGTAACTTGCTATACTGAGAGCTGAATAATTGAATTAGAACTACTAGTAACTTTGCAGGTAATCTTTCCCCTGCCAGGGCCATACAACTCATTATCTGCAAGCTGCCCTTCTTTCTACACAGGTGGTCTACTATATTATCTCTTCAAAAATCTATCTTTAATAGTATTTTAAATTGCTATTGATTGATTGGGTTAGAGAAATTTGTTTAAACTTTT